CCCTGTCCCATACAAACTATCACCATTCCCTGCAAATGGAGTACATTTTTCTCCGACCTTACCTGGGCGGTATTTATTTTGCCAATTTAGGTGTGCCACCATAGGTCTTAGGGTTCCCATAGGCAAGAGTTCAATCATCAAGAAGATGGAGTGTGGAGTGGCCTTTGGAAGCACCTGTTTCCTGATGCTGTACTCAGATGAAACCTGACTGAATTGCCACTATTATTATTTTTTGCAGTTGCACAGATCATTCAACAGGGACAGCTATGGCTATTCTTCCAGGTAGCATTTTGAATCTTGTGGTTATCCAGCCATATAATAACTGTAATAGCTAGCACAGTCAGCCTGCTGTAATTTTACTGGAGTTTTATTTAATTTTCCTGGTGACCTTGGTTTGATACTTATTTTGCTGGGTGTGTAATTGTGCCCCTGAGGAGATAAGGAGACAGGACATGCACATCATGATAGAAAGAAGATAATGCTTCTACCACTTTTGATCTTAAACTAGATGAAATAAAAACAAGAGATACTAACATCTTCTTTTTAACACTTACATGTAACCTGTAGCATTCCCACCAACAAATGTTGCTGACATCAAATTTGTTTCTTGAGCATTTGGTTTGTTATCCCACTGTTAACAGGTTACTGGCAAACATTTAATGCCTTTGAGCCTGATGCTGTATAAACTTCTAGTAGCTGGGAATTAAACACGGAGTCATGGATATCCATCCAGAAAAGAAAGGGAGCAGCCTTCTCACCTCCTAGGCTCACGTGCACACTATCTGGAGTCCCATGCAAGCTACTGTTAAAGTGAACAGAGCAGCTCATTTATTCCTTCCCATGGACTTCTTATGGGACTGTGAAAAGAAACAGCAGAAATCTACCCAAATCAACTCACCAGTAGTGGCTGGGTCAGTGAGGTGTGGGATGGGAATTTGCTGCAGGTAAAGGTGAAATACCAAGACTATTATCCCCCAGCCCTTTCAGAAGCTGTGAGTTAGAGAATTTCCTAGGTGACTCCAGGGCAGCTTCACCCGTGCTTGGAGGTGTACCTTGAAGTTCAAACTCTAGCTATGGTTTTATTATTGTAGTTTTATCTAATGGACAGCAGCCTGCTTTGGCAAATGCTGCCTGCATGAACAGCGGCTGGCCTGTTTTTAAATTGCTGTCAGGAAGGATCAGGCTTTACTTTACAGGAGCTATAGAACAGGAGGGAGGTCCTGGCCCCTCTCCTGAGCAGCTTTCAAACGAGTGAGCTGCAGTAGTAAATGAGTACTAGGATGAGATTTGTCATATACTGGAGCTGCAAAATATATTTTATGTTTCAAGAAACACCTCAGATGATGGATCTATCTGTAACATAGTATTTTCATTCCAAAGAATTCATGACTTACAGTCTTTTTCTAGCTGTTTTAAGAAAACAATAGCTTGGCAATAAAGGACATTTAGGAAATTTGAAGATGTAATTTGGAAAACACTCTTAACTGCATTTTAAACAGCATCTTCAAGCTGGTTACGTTTTTAAGGATTAATTAAATTATTTGAACTATGGCACTGTAACTTCAATGGCTAACTCTATCTCAGGATGTTAATTTTCAGCAGTAGAGTAAGTTATACAGTCTGTGCTCTCAATTAAAATGTTAAGTGTTTATCTTGAATTATTACACAGTTACACTAGTTCTAAAGACATTTCCTTTCTTCAGTGTAAGGGAGAATATTTCCAGACATGCTGACAGGTAGATGTTTACAAGTGCTGGTGATTTCAGGTTTAATTGTGACCTTTCAGAGTTGCTCCTGCATTTGCCACAGGCTAATTGCTTTACATTTTGCCTTGTTTTCGCTGGGGAGTAAGTGCTTTGAATCCAGCTATATTTATGTTCTTGCTGTTGCTTTGATCACTCAGTTATTCCCATACCTCTTTTCATTTAGTGCAAACTTTCTGTGCCTTGTATGATAGAAACAAAGATGTGATATTTCTTTGTGTTTTCAAATTATTAGATGGCATATTAGCTGCTCATATAAATGCCAAGGATTCCTTTGATAGTTAGGACTATTGGATTATCAGTGCCTCATACTAACATTATTTCTTCTGCCTACTTCCTGGGACACCTCAGCAGTTCACTTAGTCTCTTAATGTGCATATACACACATAGTATTTCCCCCCTCTCCCTTCCACGCATAATTAAAATTTAGCACAGTATTTTCAGTCCAACATTTATGGATTTCATAAAATGGTTGCTAAAAGAAATGCATTGAACACTGCAGTGGTCAAATATGTTAACGTGGTTTTCAGAGCCACAAAAATTCTGTTAAGGAACTTAGTCTTTAAAAAGTCATGGTTGTTTCTTGTGGGAATCATGGCAGAAATAGAGCTTATGGAACAGTTTGAACTGGAACGTTTTAAAGATTAGGTAGGGTCTATGAAATCTTACATGTGGCACTCTAAGCATAGAAATGACATAGGAAAGCACTCAAAAAGGGTGTTATAGCCAGTGTCATTAGTGGATGGTTTATAGATTTATTTTTTTTAATCTTGTCATGTAGTGTTGATTTATTAAGTGGATGTACAAATTTGTCACCTCAAGGGGTATTTTATATTTAATCTTATAAATGAAAGGATATGGTAATCTAATCAATACTTGCATAGATTACTTCAGAGGGAAGCTTTCATGTTATAAGAAGGATTTGATGAATCACCACGTAGCGCCCTTCTGCGTCAGGCACTATGGAATAACTGCTTGAATGCAACATGAGACTTTGCTTCAAGAGTTGCAAGCTTTTGGATCAGTCCTGAACAAAGGTTTATTCCCAATGGATTAATGTTCCAACTCTGGGTGGGGTTTTTTTGGTGTGTTAGGATTTCTAAAATGCAAGAGGCAATCTCTGTCATCACTCATCTAACAGTGACTAAAGCAGCCCGATATAACATTGGTTGGGATAAAATTTTTATTTTTATGTGATTACTACTTGAAAAAGCATGAAAAAGTTACTAGAGTATTTTGCTGTAGCATTACAGTGAGTGGCTATCAAATATTAATAAATAGAAAGTACATACTGCATACTAACTTCGTATGAAACACTGCTCAAATTAAAGTTGTTTGCATTAAAAAATATTTTAAAAATGAGACCTCATTAAATGAGATGTTTTCAAAATTGAATTTTAATCTGGTTCCATTTTTAATAGATAAATTGAAAACTCCTGACAAGAGTAAAGAGGCTGTTAATGGAATTATTAACAGACTGTTAATAACACAAATTCTAGAAGGCATTTACCAAAGCAGATGGAAGGCAAGCTGATCAGAGAAAGGGAAATGGGAAGTGATGACTGAACTGCCAACACACCTGGTCTTGCTTCTTCATCCCCACAGTGACACTTGAGCCTAACGTCTGTTGGCCCTGCAGACCATAAAGTGTGTTGATAGCCTATTTTGTGAAATTATTTGTATTCTGTGACTGAAAAATACTTGTAAGCACAAAATATTACTTAAAAAAATGCTTTTTTTCCTGCAAAATAATAGGATTGGGAAATAAGTGTATGTATAGAAAACTTTGTTTGTACTTGGAGCTTCCTACAAAAATATGCTTGGGATCCAACAGTACAGAAAAGACTTAAACACCAGGTGGTTTAGATTCTGTGCAATCAAGCCATGAAATAGCTTTACTTGCCGGGGGGGGGGGGGGGAAGGAAGGGGGAAAAAAAAACCCTACACACACATCTTTAATTTCTCCAGTCTTAGATTTCTGGGCTTAGTCAATGATATCTGCTTATTTATCAGTTGCACACAAGACAAGTGGCTGCTTGCACAACAGCTATCTTTTGCCTTGGTTCTATGTCCTGCTATCAGAGCCCCTTTCAGACGAAGCTGCCACAAGGTGTCCTGCAGCCCCTGCCCAGCATCCCTGGGGCCCATGCTTGCTGCTTGCACCCCAGTGCTGCGCAGAGACGATGCAGCTCTGAGGCTGTTTGCAGGTGCAGCGCTCTAGTAGTATTGCTGTCCTGGGGACTCTTGTGGTGTTTACTCCCTTCAGTGTGACAGAAATACCAGCTGTTGTTTGCTAGTCCATGAGTATCGGTAGCAGTGAGGATCAACAGCTCCTTGTGAGCCCAGGGCTTCTTGTGGAGTGGAGTCCTAGCTACTTACACAAATACCAGTATTGATCTAGTACTGTTTATTCTCTTAGCCTCTGTGTATTAGCAGAGTTGCAGAAAGGGTAGAGATCGCATTCTGAAATTTCCCAAGCTTGTAAAGTTAATTTTTTTTTCTTCAGCTTATGGTAGACCTTGAACAGAACTAAATTTTAGTGCCGGTGTTGTTGTGAGAAGGAGCTCCAAGTGGATGGTGATCATACAGTTTAATTTTTAAAAGAAAATCCTCTTTAACTCTCAAAATACCAGACTTGCCACTTTACCCTTCCATAAGGATCAGTTACATTTGGGACTGAAAACCTTAAAGACTTGGAGGGTGCACACTGTCAACATTTTACAGCCTGCAGTGAAGGCTTCTTAACCTTTTCATTCTAGGTACTCTGATAATGCTTTCTCCCCACATCAAAATAAACTTTAATTGATCCTTCATCATGCTTTTGGATTCATTTAAGATGCTTTGCATTAAGATCTGCTGTTTATGCAAAATCAGTTTTCACTGTTTCCAGTGTACACAAGGAGCTCTCAAGAGGGAAGGGTACTTGCTGCGAAAGACACCAGATTTCTGATTCCTTTCCTCAAAATTCTTTAAGTCAATGTTTGCTATCTGGCAGGCTCAAATAACTAAGCTACACTTCAAAATAAATTGAATAGTAAAAATCCAATAATTCTAATTTACCAGTAACATCTAGAAATACTTATCTTCTATCCAGATGGAATGGACTTTGACAGATCTGCATATGTTTAGCTGTAGCAAGCAAAAGCAATACCTCTGCAGCTGTTTTATCCTCGTCCTGAGAATTTCTCTGTGCCACTGAGACAGTAGAGGTAATTGGATGTTCTTCTCTTCTGGCAGGTACTGGACTGGATTGAAAATCATGGGGAAGCCTTTCTGAGTAAACATACAGGAGTGGGGAAATCTCTTCACAGAGCACGCGCACTGCAGAAAAGACATGATGATTTTGAAGAGGTAGCACAGGTAAGAGCCTGAATCAGACACTTCTGTTTTCTATCCTGATTTTTGTTACTCCTCTTGTATATTGAGAAAAAAAGTATTGCTCTTTTGGGTCACACTGCTGTCTTCAAGTATTTGGAGATGTCTCCCAGGTTTGAAAGTTGGCATGCACGCTGCAGAACATGGTAGCAGCAGGACTTACAACCAGAAAAATCACGAGATTGCGTTGGTGGGAGATGTCAAAACCTGGGGGAAACTGCAAGCAGTTCACAGGACAATAATGCAAAATGTTGGGAAATAGAAGAGGATGGTTATGAGCAAGGATGATAGAAAAAAATCAGTTTTAATTCCTAGAGTGGAAACTGAGGGCCTTGAGAATGTAGTGGAAAGCAGCAGCTAGTAAAGCAGTAGGGAAAACACTGGAGTATGTTTACAGTAAGGGCAACTACTCTTCCACTCTTTCCAAGAATACAGTGTATTATGTGGAATGAGTCTTTGTTTCTTGTGGAATAAGGGGCAATCATTTTTTGGTTTTAGACTTTAGTACTCTTTTTCTGTAGTACCTTTCACATGTGCTGGCCTAGTTTAGTTGAAGATGTTTCCAGAAACAGACACATACCTCTTTCACTGTGCCCTCAGGGAAACAATTTCACTGCCTAATGGCAGCTACTGGCTAGATACTTTTTTCCTTTCCCTGGTATTCAGTTTATATTTCTCTTAATCTCTCTTCCGCTGCCCCCACCCTGTTTATGTCACTTTAGCCTTACTTATCTCTCTTAAGGAGATAAATTCCCGGAAAAGAGATTAATTAACAACCCTGAACAATTTGTAGAATGTCTTCTTCTATGTGCTATATTTAATGCTGCTAGCATGTTCTTATCAATCCCTTAAATAACTTCTATTACCTACTACTTTGGATCCATTCAGTTGGCCAACATCCTATTAATTAGATGTTCAGCTCTTGATGAAATACTCTATAGCTTGGCTTGCTAGTGAGCTTCAGTGTTACCTTTCAGCTGTGACTGGATATCTTTGCATACCATTGACAAATCACACAGCCTGAAAGTAGCAGTTCTAGATTGGTGGGTCTCTAAAATTTCCAGGGACTTTGTATGGATTTGAGCCTTCTGGTAATAGGCTTGAATTTCTAGAATTACCTGTTGCAAATATATTAAAATGAGTTTAGGCTGAAGATTACAAACCACAGTTCTACAAACCGTTATCCAAAAGCACAAGTTAGTGTGAGGATTCATGCTGAAATCAACATTAGGTGCCATTCCAGAAGATGTGCTCGAGTCACCTGTTATTGGATGCAATACTGGAGTAAGGAGTGAAAATGAAAACCATGTAATATACGGGAGCTGAAACTAAGTGATTTAATGTCCTTTGTGGCATTAATATTTTGTAAATCTCCCTTCTCTATGATACATTAGCTTCATAACTCCGCTTACATCTAGCATTTTGGATCACAGTTAGCTTTTTATTTTTCTTTTTTACCTCCTCTTTGAGTAGTACTCCAGTGGAGATCTAGGAAACAAATTAAGAACAGGTGAGAAGACAGAAAAATAACATGGTCTTGACAATAGAGATTGAAGCAAGCTGTGTAATTGTCTGCACATGGAAACAACAGCTCACTTAAGGCTTGCTCCACTGGATGATGTAATTTGGAGATAGATCCCTTCACTAGGGTTTGGGAACCTTTACAAATGTGCAGCTTGCACGGGTTAAGTCAGAATGGAATTATTTCACTTAAGGCTTTTCAAACCCCTCTGTTAGTCCTCCTTCTGTATTATTTCAGCATGTCTGTCTGTGTATAACTTCAGACGAATTTCGTTTCACAAGGCCAAATTTAGAGCAAAGATTGTTCACTGGATGATGACGTGTTCTAATGAACGTGGGTGTCTGGGAGGAGGATGGAGAGGAAAGGGAAAAGTATAGTTTGCGTGGGTGCAGAATCTTGTACGTTTCTCTGAATCAGATTCTTTTACATCTCATGGCATCGATAAGTGTCTCATTGCTCTGCCCAGACAACTGAGAACAGTCACAAACAGTCCTGCATTCTGAGTATGAAGTTTATGGTGCCTCCAAATTAGTAATCACTGACACGAGTCAAACTTGGTTACTTTCCCCTGGCTTTGACAGAAATAGTTTCCTCTGGTGCATTCACACCAGAATATCGTTGCTAATTTATGAGGCCTGTCTGCAGTGTGACACTGGAATGTGATGCTGGCAAATGGACATGGGGACATGCACTGAGGGGAAGTGAAAGGAAGCTCAGGCTTTATCTGAGGTCAAGGACTTAAGAATATAATACTCTGCTTTGGAAAGAGTAATGGCAAGGGTAGGAGGGGAGGCCATAAATTTATCACACCTGGAGTTCTCCTGCAGAAGCTTCTAGTGAGGTCGATTTTGTGGTTGGAGAATAAATCTCCCTGCTCTAATTATGACCAGTTTTTATTCTTCTTAGCTCCCTTCTTGATGCTTAACTCTTTAGAAGCATTTTTCTCCACTTAATATCTCTGCCATGGCGAGGGTGGGTAACTAGCATTGCTTATTCCCAGTATATCCATATAATAAAGCACATGTGCTAAGATCCTGAAACAAACTGGTCAGTTTACCATTCCCCTCGTCGGGATGTTGATTACTGGCATTAACAATAGAGTTGTGTTTGTTTTTCTTAATAAAATAAAAAGTGTAGTACTAATATAACTGGTAAGATTGACAGTATAAGCAATAGTATTTACTATTGGCAGTTCTCTGAAAAAAAAACAACACTTAGCCCGCCATGCATTATAAATTTAATCTCTAAAATCTACTTTCTTTTGGCTCTGATATATTTGCTTTTATCTCCTACTGATTCAGGAAGGCATTTGCAAAGGTCAGACTAGGAGCAATTTTCATAACTTTTCTTGATATTTTCAACATTGGGCAAAACATTCATGTCTTCGAATGCTGCTTAACTGCATGTAAAGAGTAGTAGTGTTTCTGGGATTGCTGTGCTGAGAAATGCTCTGATTGACTGACCTGCCAAGGCACTAGATTGAGAGGCTGAACATGCTCCCTCAGTGTCTGATTAGAAACTCCACAGATTTATAAATCTAGATGTAATGATTCAATCAGGCATGTGCAAAATAGATCACATTCCTGCATACAGCTATGCTTGGAAAATATCAGTGATTTTAAAGTGCTGCATTGTGGGCAATAGGAAATATAGTTCGGGGTCCCTTTCTCTCATAACTGCTGCTTAGACAATGCTCTAGCAGTTTTTCTGACTGTATTTATTCTATATGGAATGCACAGATGGCAAATGCTTGAATTTGGATTAAAAAGCCTGAGCTCCTGGGAGGGAGGCTGGTATCTTGTACATACCTAAAGATGTTTCTCAACCAGTGCTGATGCTGTTCACAGGCTGGCACCCTGAAAATGACAACCTAAGGCCCAGTGCCTGCCACACAGTGAAATTTAGCAGTCGGGCATTGTCAAGGTATCACCAAAGAAATACTGCTGTTTATGTAGCTGCAACATTCCTGCAATGACAGCCTCTTTGCATGGCTGGAATTATTTTGTGCAAATCAGATAACCATAGTTCAGCCAGTTATGACTGTAAAGCCAAAGATATTTTCAAATTTTCCTTAGAAAAGGGCTTTTATCCTGGAAACCAGTGTGCCTTTCAATTGGAAAAGTCTCCCCAGTGCTTCAGTGCAATAGAGTTGAGTGGCATGTGTTGAAAATCCTTCTTCTGTTCTCTGTATATGAAGAGAGGGGCCTTAGACCATTCTCCTCCCTTCTGTCATTCTTGGCAATCGGAGGTTAAGGTGGCTATCTCGACATTCTCCTCTGCTTACAAAGAGCATCACTGCATTTGTGCTGGTGCAGAATTAGGAAAGAAACTGGGGAAACTGCTCTGTTACTCCCTTGAGCTCTGCTGGTGGAGGACTTAGTGGTTTTGTGTTTGAATGACCCGGAAGAAGCATTTCTGTAGTCTTTCTGCATTTATGAGTTTTTCCATCAGATGTGCTGTTAAGATTACCCGCCGTGCAGGCTCACCCACATTTTTGACACCAGTACGTGTTTCCACCTGCAGATGGCACTCGCAACGCGCTGTACAAGCCTCCAGTTCTGCTAAGGGTCAACAGAGCTGCTGGTTGTAATCCAAACTAACCAGTGTCTAGAAGTGAAATGAAGCAGAAGTGGAAGTTGTTTCACACAGTGTCCCCGTGGTGTTCTCCCACCCCTGCCAAAACCCACGTTGTTCAAGGTCACCCAGAAAAACAACCCTCCTGTTTTTATTTTGTTTTTATACACAAAGCTGGGCGGTCCATGCTTTAATGCAAGGCGGTGCTTGTCATCTGTATTTGTGGGATAAGCTGCTCTTGGATCCGTGGAGCTGCTTTCAAGGCTCTTTGGCTACAACTCAATATGCTTGCAGCTACAACTGAGTTTTGTATTTAGTAACTGTGTGTGTATTTGCATGCAGTAGTTGGTATATTTTTCATAGTAACCCAAAAGCACTGATGTTTACAAGGTGAACTGTCACAATTCAAGCATGCAACAAAGCACACATTCTGAACAGCCTTGATTAAAAATGTGTGGAATTGTCCCTCATTATCAGACACAATAAGAAAGTTGACTGGCATCTGAGCTGTGGCCATTGAAGTTCAGGGGGTCTGTCTGTATGCCCAGTGCAGCAGCTCTTGGTTCAGGCTGGTAAGTACAAGTTTTGATTTAGGTATGTGTCTAGATCTTGTTTTCCTGACTCTGAAAGCTTTACAGGATCCATTTTGCCAGGGTACACATGCAATGCAGTAGACTATTCTTGAATTATTACAAAGAAGGAGTGCCAGACAAAATGCAAGTAAAAATGCTGACCTTCACAGTACACCATTTGGGAAACTCTTCAGTTTTCCTATTTGGGGGTATCTATGTTTGCTTTCCTCCAAGGCAACTTTTAGAAGATGATGGTTAAACACCTGAACACTGGCTTTGAACCATTAAAGTTAACCTAATATGTATCTATATAGTTC